TGGAAGCCAGTGGAGGAGAGGAGGATGATAAAACAGATGACTCATTGCAAAGATGGGCATTAGGAAGACAAACTGGCTGTCTTCGATCGCTTCGGAGAGAAAGAACATATAAGTGACCTTGACTCTGATGGACTACAGTTTACTTGGAGATATGCTACCCTGTCTCTTAACTCGCTGGCTCACACCGTCAGTGGCGAAATTGTTGACTGTAAGTCGGTTGACAGTAGTGTCTCAGTTGTTGACGTAGTTGGAAGAGATGGTTTATCTTGCAGAGACTCTGCACTATGAAGTGTCGAAATAAACCTCCACCATCATATAGTCCATTCCTCGACATCGGTTATCCTGGATGTGATGCGTAAAATCTGTTGGACATTACATGGCAATCTTTGAAATCACATTTTCTTAAGAGCATTTTAGTCCATCATCTAGCTTATATGGCTTGATAGGCTGTTTAATGTGTCGTAGTAGCTGAGAGAACTTTCTGCTACCTAGACCATAAGTTGTGAGTAACAGCTGGAACCGATTCTTGTTCAAACCTGATGTTCTCTGTATACTTCCTGTCATTAGCTTATAATATGATAGAGAGCGTAAAGATGATTCTGTACAGTTTTGCATTAAAAGTTATAAATGACAGTCTTTTCCATTAGAACATGGTGTTTATCCCTTTTTTGAAAGAAACCCTTGTTTATTACATGTGTACAAGTAAAGGAAAAAAGTCGTCTTTCCGCTCCGTACAAGCTTTCAAGCTGAAGAGATGAAACACTGCAAAGATCAATTTATCAAACGTACAAATGGAATTTACTGCTGACAAACTTTAATAGTTTTGTGCCAATAAGCACTAAAATGAAATCTCATAACTTCTGTTGCGACGAGAACCTATCGAATTTACACTTCAAATAAACTGAGTGAAGAAGTGAAATCCATCAGAAACATTCTGATAGGGAAGAATGTCAAGCCTCCTTTAACAAAAACATTTAAAGAGAAGAAACGATGCTCGACTAAACCTGGATGTATTGAGGGAATAACTTATTCTGAATCTGAAATTCAAGACAGATTAAATCAGTGAAATTCTCAGAGGTTGTCTATCAGGAAATGATCCCACGGTTAGCGGCTTACTGTGCACTCAACGATTCAATCGCTACTTTGAAGTGAAGTAGATAGACCGATAGATAGATAGACAGATCACTTAGATGCGCTCAACTATGCCTAATAAGCGTTGTTTTCGTAAGAAGAACGGAGAATAGTCGACGACTCGATGTGAGAACAAATTTGTGCTTTTTGTGATGCAACATTACCACAGACTTACCACATAGTCAAGTATAGAGCAGGATTAAGCCGTTAAAACGGATCCCACTTACATCTTCCACATGCAGCGGAAGCTCATGAAAAAGCTGGAACCCTATGTTCTGAAGCATTTAATCCTGCTTCTTTTTTAGCCCAGGCTTTGGCGTCAATCTAATCTTCCTGAATTGTTGCATAATAAACTCCATGTATTCCTTTTATTTTCTGTAAGCGATTTGCATTTCTCTGTTCTCTTCTTTCCTATCAATTGTCTCCAAATGATTATTCATCACTTAACTAGTAAATTGTAAACTGTGTTGATAATTTAATATTACATGGAGGGTTTCATCATGAGCTGACATCAGTTAGAGAACCATTGGAAAACCTGGGAGTACTGGACAGCTGTTTCGTCCTGATATCAGCTCATGATGAAATCCTCCCTGCAATCAAACAAAATCCTTACAAAACCAATACTTGAAAATTTAATATTATTCAGTATTTTTCACAAGTCGTTACTTCTCATACACTTTGTTTATTTGTTATTAATTTATAATAATCTCTGACCTTTTAATGTTAATTAACACTGTACATGAGGTCGCCTTATTTCTTGCATGGCTTTGAAGTGAAGTTACGAGCCGCCTTAAAATGACTGTAGGGACCAGGGTGAAATGGTAATGTGCTACTGAAGTCCTCTATGTTTCATTCGGAAATCAAGGGAATAAAAATAATAATGAAGTATTTGTTTCGCATATACTCCAAGTATACATTTGCTATTGAAAGAAGAATTTGAAGAATACTACAGTTTGCATTTGTCTCTTAATTAATAACAGTAGCCTGAAATCCCAGGAGAAGCCAATTTCATGTGGCAGAAAACATTAATGTAATCTCAGTCCATTCTAAATCCAAAAACGTTTCAGTACATTGATTCACATTTCTAGGCTGCTTGCAAATACTAAGAGGCGTGGGAGATCATGATTTACTCCATAAAAGTTGTATTTCCTTGTCTTTTTCATGTTGATATTCAAAGTTATTTTAATTTACAAATCAATTGTAAGGGGAGTTATTAGTGTTATAATAAACACCGGAGTATTTATTAATTCCAATAATTAACAGTTTGTATGATATTAAGGAAACTAAGATATGAACAAAGTTATCACGAGAAATATTGATTGTCAGACATGCAGTTCACGAGGAAACATTTCTCATCCCCCTTGTCAAACTAAATTAGGCAGACAAAAGTAGAAATTTGGGTTACGTACAATTCCATGATAGATTAATTTTCTTTTATACAGAGAACTGTGATATATCAACACTTTTCACGAGGATGTTTTAGGCATATTTAGTGCTCACTTTCGTTTGCCAGCATAGCACCAGAGTTTTGTTTATGTATTTCTACACTTTCCTATTCGTTGACCTAACATTACCAATTATTTGAATGTGTTAGTTACTTCAATTATTACCTTCTTGATGCACGTATTTGGTGTTACTTAAACGGACGGTGATTTAATGATCAGTCTTGAAGTCTAAATATTGATTTTAATGCTGAGAACGGCTTCACCGAAGTTCAGCAGGTCCAGGTTAAATACTGAAATAATCCGTAACTAGCGCTTGACGAGACACAAAATGGCTTTCAGAGTTCCTTTTTTTCTCCACACTAGGTTTCAACACCGGTAGGTGCATACCGCCAAGAGGGCCCGAGTCTTCAGTAATTCTCTAACTGATCTCAATCAGTTCATGGTCAAACTTGAAAAAAATCAAATCCTCACCAACTAACACTTGTAAGTAGCTGCATCCTGCGATTTTCGCTAACTAAAATATTACAGTGTAGTAGAGCTAGGACCGTTTCTCCTAATGACCAGGTATAATGGGAAGATTGTATAGACAACCTATTTTGCACCATCCAATTATAATATTGATATTTTAACTGATTAAAAGTGCCCATTAAAAATATTTTTCAAAAGAATGGTTACTGAACAAAGAAAATTCCTTCTGATAACCTGCTCTTCATCAGGTCCTACAGTTATATGTACATATTAGTGAATGAATTAGTGTTATTAAAAACATTAATGTTTGATTAACATCGAATTAGTGGATTACAAAAGAAGTAATTGAAGATGATACATGATATATCCTGACATGTTCATCAAGAAACATATTGAAATGGACTATTTACTATCCATGAACTCGAAGCCTTTTACATACGACTGTAATTCAAGGGCGAAATACCTAGAGAAACAATTAGGAAGAAGTTAAGAAAATCAGTTCAAAACTTTTAATGCTGGCAAAGTATAAGTCTTATTTTTGACGCGATCGGTTGTGATTCCTCAAATGAAAGATAAAGTACCTAGACTAGATACTTCAAGTTGTATCTGCCAATTCAGCCACGGTTGTGTAGCCAATTATGTTGCCCTGTGCTCTAGGAACTTGACGTTTCGTGCTCGAGAATACCTACCAGTGTGGCTAAATAAACGTTAAGTGAAAACCATCTGGTCCGAATTGGCTACGAAGCCAGCATTGAAGAATCCTTCTCTGTTATCTACCTGGCACCAAAAAATTGCCAAAAGCATCCAAGTACTAAATACTCCAAACAGCAGAGGCTATCGCAATTCGTGTGAAACAACTGGTACTTTTCGTGCAGAGGAGGCGAGTCCAGCCAGTCACTACTACTGCCCTGGCCTTCAGTAAAGACTACAAAATTCATGAACTTCTACTATTATCTTTCCTAATTTTTCTGACATTCAGTTTATTGTAGTGTTGATGCTATTTAACTGTAATCCATTCATATTATTAATGTTGATTCAATGTTATTTAAACATTGATGTTGTTGATAACACTAATTCATTCACTAGTATGTATATGTAACTGTAGAACCTGATGAAGAGCAGGTTATCAGAAGGAATTTTCTTTGTTCAGTAACCATTCTTTTGAAAAAATATTTTTAATGGGTATTTTTAATTAGCTTTGTATTGTTGTCCGTTTTCTCTTAGACTGTAAAGAACTGTTTTGACATTTGCACATTATATGTTGACTTGATCCGTATTATTTGTATTTGTCCTTGTTTAACTTGCGATTTTAATGTTTCTCTTCTTGGTTGTGTGATACATCGATGTGTTGTTTAACGATGTGATTTTGTTTAAGTGAATGTTGGTCATTCCGGCCTTCAACTGTCTTTGGGAATCGTTGATGTATAATTCTTGTGGACAGAGTTTCGATCCCACCCACCCCCATCTTGTCGGGAATGTTCTACTGGATTCTAAGCTATCTCATATGGTTGAACTATAGTCAGGTAATTTCGTTCTACACTATTCGTTTTGTAACTCAGACTACTGGATCTGTACAGCAGCTGCCTAGCAGCACTGTTGAGGTGATTTTGAGTTTTTGATTTTATTATTGTTGAATGGAACCACATAGATCTAACCACGAACAATAATCCATTTGCTGTCTTTGGATTGTTTTCTGAGTGTGCGTCTCTCCAGGAAGTTTTGTCAGCTGTCCAGTAGGACGCAGAGATCGTTTTCTTGCGCTCAGACCACAACGGGTCGGTTTGGGTAAAAACACCGGGTGAATGACAATTCTGTTTCGAAGAAACACGAACTTAGTTTCGATCGAAGTCAGCCTGATTCTCTCATTCTGTATTTACATGTAACTCCCGGTAATTGCCTGATATATGAAAGAGATGGATAATATTTTATCTTAGGGACTGTTGTAATAAATTTCAATGCGGATATAAATAACCTTTATTAAATGAAAAAATGTCAATGTTAGAGAAACAGGAAAGTATAATAGACAAGATAAGAAGATAAAAATATTTCTTCGCATCAAAATCTATTACAAGTTTTCCAATTTATAATTAATATTTTCATTGAATCAATCATCTCTCTTACTGACACACTTAAGATGATTTTTGTTCACAAACAACCCATAGAAATCGCAAAAGAATCCCTTCGATCATTCACATGGTTCGTTTCACTCTCAACTTTTTAACTGATTCCGTACGTAGTACAAAGTAGATTATCGCGGCGACAGCTAGAAGTAATAAGATTGCAGCGAATACTATTAAAGCGATGGTACCTGGATGCACTGTTCAACAAGAAAGAAAGAAAAAGTAATCGCAAAAAGAGTGGGAAAAAAAGGCATACATATATTTATATACTTGCATATATATAAACTGTTATGTACCACCAAAATTACCCTCTCAAGTATTTCATAATTTTATGGTTCTCAAATGACATTCTAGTGACATCGCATCAGTCCAACGAACTGAACCGCATGAGTGGCTTGGAATGGAAACAGTCATAACAAGAAAATACTTTTAGACTTTCGCATGTCTTCGATCCAGCTGGAAATTATTTAAGACAACACACTGGAATGAAGATGTGCCGCTGAATTCTCATTTCCCATTCAGGAGGCAAAGGAAGAGTTAAAATCATAGTAATGATCTTACAGTGGTTAATTGCCGACCAAATGTGCGAACTTACGACGAACGATATCTTTAATGCTACCGATATCATTAAAATAATAGTTTGTTTGATTACTTCTCAATTTAATTTGTATGAGAAGGGAGAAAACAATAAAAGTCAAATAGGTGAAACAAAATAACAAGCGATCTAAGAGTAGTGACGATAATAGGTGAGACTATTCTTGGCAATACTGTCATGTAAGATAGGCTAGGCGTTACAATAAACTGCCTTTGTACACAATGGAGGACTTGATTTTTATTAAAATCTGTCTCTTCACCTTTTTTTAAATACGCCTCTGCTTAATTTTGAAAGGAAATTTAACATCAGTCTTATGAATCATATCACTAATGTTTTATTATGGAAAACCTGAGTTTATCGAGATTTTAGAGTTGTATTACTTTTTTAAGCAGTCTGGCTAGGATTTTATCTAACTTCATTCAGAAAACGTGATTACTACTCTAAGTGCGTGTCCACAGACATGTAAATTTGTTTGCAATATTTTATTTATTTTTGATTACAGCTTGATTTCACACCGTATTTTTTGGTACATGTATGGAATTTTCAGCATGTGATATCGGTAGCCCAAATTTTGCAGGCCGACCATAGATATCAGATATGCGTGAACAGGGGGTCGAGTCCTAGACCATGTGCATGGTCGGCGAAAGTCCTAACCACTGTGCTACCGACAAACAGTGTTGAGATCTTTGATAAGACATTCTCAGCTTTTGCGATAATTGGAGGCTGACCCACATAGTTAATCCTACAGATGACAGAGTTTCGATAAAGAAAGGAAGACGAAATTTGCAGTATAAAATGATATCATTCTATTTCACAGGTTCTCATCAGCTGCAGACTACCTGAAATTACAATGGTTATATAAATGATAATAACATACTTTAATGTTTGATTAGTAGTAGGGAAGAAGTAAAATTGACGCATCCAAAAAAGAATGAAAGCATTACAATTTCTAGTTTAAGTTATCATCATCAATTTATACACTTTCAGAGTTGAAAAGAGGGGGTAGGGGTAAGACAGAAAATAGAAAAATTGATTAACAGAAACAGTGTTAGCTTGTAGGTTCACATGGCAACTCCAAAAAACAAAAGCATTTACAGTTTATAAGATTGAGATTTGCTCAGTGAGTTGAGATCACTGATGACTAATCAAAATCAAATTTCAGTTACCAAGGGAGTGAGAGGTTAATCACACTCTCTTTCTGTATGCATAAGTCTGGTTTAAATCGTTTGATTGCGATCGCTTCGGCAAATCTTAGTAAATTTGCTGTCCTTTGTCTATTTAATATTTTGAAGGACTTAGAGATCTCTACGAGATGTCCGGTATCAACAATGTGTCTGGTAATTGCACTCTGGGAATATCTGCTTCCTTTCAGGCATAGGTTTCTTGGAATATGTTCAGAAAACCGGATAGAAGCCCTTCTTTCTGTCCTTCCAATGTACTTGCTCCCGGAAGTGCACGTAAATTCATAAACGCAGTTGGAGGTGACATCAGCAGGGTATTTATCCAGTTTTGAGTTGATCATGGAAGGAGTGGTGTTGTATACTGTTATGAGTTTTGCTGCCGGGAAGCTTCTATTTATTGCTCCTTTCAGTCTTCTGTCAATCTTTTGTGAAACTGCATCTCCTTTGAATGGGAGACAAATAAATACTTTTTTCTTTTCTACAGTTGGATGCTTTTCTTTCTTGTCTTGTCTTCTTTTATTTGTCTCCCATTCAAAGGAGATGCAGTTTCACAAAAGATTGACAGAAGACTGAAAGGAGCAATAAATAGAAGCTTCCCGGCAGCAAAACTCATAACAGTATACAACACCACTCCTTCCATGATCAACTCAAAACTGGATAAATACCCTGCTGATGTCACCTCCAACTGCGTTTATGAATTTACGTGCACTTCCGGGAGCAAGTACATTGGAAGGACAGAAAGAAGGGCTTCTATCCGGTTTTCTGAACATATTCCAAGAAACCTATGCCTGAAAGGAAGCAGATATTCCCAGAGTGCAATTACCAGACACATTGTTGATACCGGACATCTCGTAGAGATCTCTAAGTCCTTCAAAATATTAAATAGACAAAGGACAGCAAATTTACTAAGATTTGCCGAAGCGATCGCAATCAAACGATTTAAACCAGACTTATGCATACAGAAAGAGAGTGTGATTAACCTCTCACTCCCTTGGTAACTGAAATTTGATTTTGATTAGTCATCAGTGATCTCAACTCACTGAGCAAATCTCAATCTTATAAACTGTAAATGCTTTTGTTTTTTGGAGTTGCCATGTGAACCTACAAGCTAACACTGTTTCTGTTAATCAATTTTTCTATTTTCTGTCTTACCCCTACCCCCTCTTTTCAACTCTGAAAGTGTATAAATTGATGATGATAACTTAAACTAGAAATTGTAATGCTTTCATTCTTTTTTGGATGCGTCAATTTTACTTCTTCCCTACTACTAATCAAACATTAAAGTATGTTATTATCATTTATATAACCATTGTAATTTCAGGTAGTCTGCAGCTGATGAGAACCTGTGAAATAGAATGATATCATTTTATACTGCAAATTTCGTCTTCCTTTCTTTATCGAAATTTATCAAGGGAACCAGTTGTATGAAGATGACAGAGTGTTTAGGCTTTGTGTTAAACTAGTACGGTTTTTTCTCCTTTGTAGATGATTTGATATAGAAATCTTTCACTAACGACGGAGTAAACTGTGGTCTTTGAACATAACACTCCTCTACATTGGATTAAACTACCTTCGTAATTCTCATCCGATGATCACATTATCAAGATTCGTGTCAACTATCGTCATCGTTACGCATATTCACGATTATTTTTGTTTATTTTATTTAACCCTTCATTCTTTTCATTCTCTTATAAACTGAATTGACACATGTCATCAGTGTTCAAAATGTATTACGTAAATACATCACATCTCGCAGATAAATTACATCTTTCAATAAATTTACCACGATGTCCGATTAACTAAATTAGAAACCGAAGACAGTAATGACATGAAGTCTTTTACACTAATATTTTTACTGATATATGATTGCATATCATCACACGTAGTTTTAGGTAACGATATGTAGCTAGTCACATAAACATTAGTAACTGAATCCTGCACACAGACTCCTTTCAGTAATTTTCATTTTAATGCATGATTAATTATTTGCAGATCTCTCTTCAAAGATTATAAGTGTGCATATTTATTTATTCAGAAGATTCATATTTTTTATTCTTAAAAATAAAAGTAGTGCTTGTTTAAGAAAATTGTTTACAAGTAAACAAAGTCATATACATATTGTCAAGTAGAGAATTATGTTAAGGCATTCATATTTACCTTAGTAGTGATAGTAGGCTTATGAACAAGCTAACGCGTTAACAATACTATCTAATGATATGCTTACTATTTAACTCTATTGATAAAGTGCATACTTATTAACTTTAATATTTTTCCTGAAACTATATGAACCAGTCAAAGAATTTCAAGAATTCATTATCTCACAAAAATGATGATGTACAGTGTGTACAGTGTCACGTCATATCAGTAAACTCAACTTCAAAGAAGTTTATTAATTAATGAAAACTAAAAGTAGACTCAGTGTGTATGCGTGGGTGTAATCCGACAGACTTTGTAAATGTAAATAGTTCACTTGCCTACAGTTAACGGAATATTCTACTACCTTAGTTGATTTTAAATATTCATTTATTTTTCTTGTGTTTTTTTATTTAGATAATATCAACACAATTACTACTATTGACTACTGGTTATTCAGGAGTAAACCATTTGTATAAATACACTTAGAAATGTAGTTTTAATCGTAGGAAATTTTTAAGCAGAAATGATGTGGCATTCTTCTAGACGTCTTTCTCAAGAAAGTCAGCTTTCTGACTAACCATCTATCATTTTAGTTATTGGTTAGGAATTGGATAATACATGATACTCACATTTTGCTCAATGATACACAACGTGGTATTACCGACACTAAGGTTTTGTTAATAAAGCTAGATGCATTTTAGAAAATAAAAGAATGATTGAAAAAAACTACAGAGTATTGGTACTAGAGCTGTAAGCAGATTTAAGTTTCTTAGCTTGATTTATCATTGCCTTAAGAATATGGGATCGAAGATGAAATGGATTAATAACTGAAAAAGTAATAAAAAATAAATAAATTCATCTAATGATAAACTTTTCTGTTAAACTTTATTCAAACATTCTTTCTATCGTTGTATTCATATATGTACATATTCCTTCGATACGTTCTAAATTAATCAGCCTGAATGGTTCACTTCCAGCTATCGAGTTATGAATTCCAGTCCCACTCCTACTGAGGTTTTGATAGCCAGCTAGTGTCAACAACCGTTATGCAGTACTTGTGACTCATAGCTCACACCTTCGTAAGCTTTCCATTGTGAATCAGTTGGCATATAACGGCATCATCATACAGCCTTTGAATGAGGTTGATAAAGGTTTGCTAAAGTGAAATCCCCAGTATTGGATGCAGTTCCAAAGGTACTTCGTAGATGACTTTATTAAATGGCTTCTCAAAGTCGATGAAGTGAGATAGATATTTGTCTACCAGTTTTGGGATCTGTTGGTCAGTGCTGTACGTGTTACAACTTGAATTGCTCATGCCTCTTTCTTTCGGATCCAATCTATGTCGGATGAAGCTAACCATCCACAACATCACTTAATCTTTTGAGGATTAATCTGGCCTAATACTTTTCTTGGAATGGAGAAGAACATTATTCCATCGCAGTTCTTGAATGGGTTAATGTCACTTTTTTAGACAGTTTTATAAGGTTACCTTTCTTCTAATCAGTAGGCACCTTCCCTTCCTTTCACACCAGTATAAATGACGATAGAATGTCCGTTGAGATCTCTGGGTCTGTTTCCAGGGATTTTGAGGAATCCTATTTGGTCCTGCTGCTTTCCTGGCTTTCAATAACTTTATGGACTGCAGGACTTCTATCGGACGGTCAGTGTGCCCTTATAGCCGGTATTTCAAGAGTCCTATAAAGTGAACAGTTCAGCATTTTCCTTGCTTCTCTTCCTCGATAATAAAGTTCTCTTTACTACCTCTAACTGATTTCAAACTATATCTTCTAATTCATTCTGCTATCTGAGCAGTTATGCAAGCCTAAAACATGGTGAAGACATTCTATGCTCACATACCTAGTTTTGCTTCAATTCTGAAGACAACAATATACATCGGCTGACTGGCTTTCTGAAGACTTTTATTTGTCAGCTTTATCCGTCCTCAAATAGAAAAGTTTTTCCAATTCCAGAGGAGAATGAGTTAATTTGTGCTTGCCTTTAAATATCACTAGCGATGGGACTGTTTATAAGGAGTGAGGTTGCTAGTCCGAACCCATCCTTATTTTTTCCCAAGCTTAGGACTGGCTAGCATTCTAGGCAATTTTGTTGCATATTTGTAAAAGCTTCTGATTTCTAAAAGCCATCCACTATTTCGATTAGCTGAAATACTGTCTTTCGTGGCAACAACAAATGACTTGATGAATGAGTTACCTGGAAGGTTCGTAATTCACAACCTCTTGTAGTTCTACTGAAAGTCTGAGACAAAATACTCTTTGAACTTTGTGAATTTATGCAGTAAATTATGTTTCTGTTGTGATCAGCCGTGAATAAAATTCATTTCAGGATAAATAGTTGAAATGTTACCCAAAATACTTCATTGACTGATGAGGCTGACTTGGAAGGACATTGTTTGGCATGCGTAATCTAGACGGTACATGCTTGTAAAGCCTTACAGCTCAAAATAACTTAATGAATAGGAGCAAAATATATTTTTTCTTTTGTGAATTACACTTCACATAAGATTGTTTGCAAACAGTCACACTAAAATTCACGTCTAAAAAACTCACGTGTACACTCTTTTCCAGGATCATCTGGATTTGAATCTTTCCACATGGGATCACAGCTGCAAGTGACACCAGTATTAGTATTTCGACAAGATGCATGCTGACCACATAATGACTGTGTTTGTTCACAAGTAATAGTTGGTGAAATACCTGGAAAATTAATGCATAAAAGTTTGAATAATTTAAAGTTCCAACGAAAACAATGATTATTTATTTATTTATTTATTTTGGTTACAGCTTGATGCCACACCGTATTTTCAGTACAAGTATGACATTTTCAGCATGGATATCGGTAGCCCAAATTTTACAGGCCAACCATAGATATCGGGTGTGCGTCGGCAGCGGATCGAACCTCGGACCATGTGCATGGTCGGCGAGCGTCCTAACCGCTGTGCCACCGACGCACTATTATGCCAACAAAACAATGTAAAGCTTTTCACAGAAGTGTGTTCCTTCAAACTGTCAAATTTGTAGATGAAACATATAGAAAAAGATTGAAGAAATGTAGTGAAAGCACAGTGAAGAAAAATACTTGGGAGGAAGTGTTATTATTTTATGATTATAGAAAATCTTTAGAATCATATGGAATGAGAAGAAGTGTACCACTCTTGACTATTTCAAGCTTTCTTCTTATACTACTTCAACCACTGATATTTTGTATTTATAAAACTAAGCTAGATAATCTACATCTCAGAACAGCAGATAATGATATCTTGGATTAGTGCAATTTTATGGTTTGAACACACCTAACTTTTTCAAGTGTGTAATCCTACTTCAACTGCGTTTGTTAATCGAGGAAATCAGTGACTCACCATTCGTATTTATCCCTCAGTCAATATATATTCGCAAGCCCATCGATGTCAACATCCATCTAACCCGAAGCACTCTGCCTAACGTCACTATGGCTTACTATGTAGTCCACTAAAGGCTGGAAATCCAACGAATACTCCTTCGATCAAAAACATTCAGTAATTAAATGTCCTCGAATTTCAACATCGGTGAAGTAATTCTGAAAGTATTTCAACACTGCGGGATACCCCAAATCTTTATCAACCTCATTCGACAATGGGATATGTCAAGTGATCCACGACGGAAAACTCAGTGAAGCATTTGAAGTGAATACACGGGCAAGACAAGGTTACCTACTATAACCAGTGATATCCATAATTGTTGCGGACATGAATGTGCCGAAGGCCGCGGGGAACAAAACGAGAGGACTACGTTAGACCGAACAGAAGGCAATGGGGTATCCGGACTTCACGGATGTTTTGTGTCAAATGTCAAATGAATTCAAATATCTAAAAGCGAAAATCAAAAAGCTGTCAGAAGAGGCGGGCAGCTAAGACACTACATGGCGTGTCACGAAAATCATTTGCAACTGGCCACTACAGACTCTTATCGACAGCTACTTTTTCTCCTTACGGAAGACCAGATGGCTAGTCGGAATAAATTCTCAACCTGGACATCTTTGAACAAATTAGTCAAAAACGTAATGCTCAACAAATACACCAAAGAAGTTGAAGATAGACTGCGCACACTCTGATGAAACTTTCGAATAAAATCGCTGTCCAAGCCATCGCTCGAGTGCAACGGGGGTAGGAGATGGTGAGTTGGGTGTCTGAGGGTGACATAGCGGAGTTCTTGTGGAGAGGATATCAGACAGTATGGTCAATCGTGAGGCCAGCTGAAGAGGACTGAAGAAGACAGAGAGAAAAAAGACGTTCTGTTGAAGCCTTATGTTCCCCTTGGAACCCAAAGGAACAATAATGTTATGGTTTCATTGACAATTTCTAAAAGATCTCAGAACCACTGTGTGAGCTGCCATGATGTTTCAAAGCAATTTGGTTGAGCAGTGTTTTGTGGAATAAAGGTGGTGCTGTTTAGGAAATGATAAATTAGGATATTGAACTGTTGTGGTGTGACTTCCTAAAATATGGTTTATTAAGGATGATTTGTCTTCACAAATAGGGAAATTATTCAAGACATCTGATTACTTCACTATATATCTTGAAACCAGTAGAACCGATCATTCTGTTGTAACCGTTGGATGTTACAGAGGCCTGACTCATACAATTAACTTTCAAAATGTTATTGAGTCTTTCAAAACAGTGCAAATTCTTCATGACTTCTCCGCCTAAGAGGACTGAATCATGTGTGTTTTCTGGCGAGGATTTTATTTGGTGAAAGTCCCAAATCCAAAATTCTGGAATCAATGAAAAGCACATCTATCAACAAGAATATATTATGATTCAGCTAGTAAATAAACATTAGGCATCCGTAAAGGAAAGCAACGGATGCCATCTGTTCAGAAGATAGCTCTTGATGTAATATGAAACTACTGACTATATTTAAATAAACTGCTGTGATAAGTATGTAGTAATTTCTCCCTAAAGTGCATGCATCCTCATTTAAATACTTAGTAAACAACAAGTGAGTGAATAAATATCAAACCTTTTAGTTAGGTCTTCGTTATTACCTTTATAAAAATACATATACAGCATTTTGTATGCAATGAATCAATAACCATTATAATAGTAACAGGTTTGTTAACATAAATAGAGACCTAACATCAATGGACGTTTACACTAATTCAGTCAGTTCCGGTCCCTTGAAATATAAGTGCATCTAGTGAAATGTCTAATTCATAAAGCTGAGATACTTTGTAGAATGACTGTCGTGGTAGGACATCTAAAGCTGTACGAGATAATATCAGGAGGAAAGGATATTCATTTATAAAATATCAGTTTACTTTCTATGAATGCTACTATGCAAATGACTGTGTGACTGACGACACTTCTCTTACTGACTAACAACTTTCATCATATTTCCTAACTTATTTTATTTTACTGATAACACTCACATTATTTCAAAATGTACTTAATCTTCCTATGATCTGTTTCACACATATCAGTTGAACTTTATATTGGCTTTTATTTATTCATTCATATGTCTAATCAATTTGTTATGTGTTTAAACGAAGACTTAAAGTTGTGTGAGCATCTCCTAATATCATTATGAGTATGAATAAATTGTGTTCGAAACATCATCAATAAATAGCACTGTATAACACTGCCAGACTTTATTAAATAGACTAACTTTATGATGGAATGTGTGTCATCAGATGTAAAGAAACTTTTTTTGTTAAAAGTACTATTTCATGGGGGCTTAGTGAGATTTCAACAACTTTTTGACGTCACAGACGTGTTGTGTGTTGTCTAACACTAACTAACCCAATATTATACTCAGGAAATGAGGAAAACTAACCTAATTTCAACTCTTCCATTTGTATCGGCCTATTTGATTACTTCTATGAAAAACAGCTACACATCGGATTTGCAGTCAACACATTTTCATCCACAGATATCTGGATATCATTCTGCATAGCTAGACAGGAGACAGTGGGGTTCGACTTGAGACTTTATGTCTGGTTCGTCTTGTTACTGCAGAATACATAACTGGTGTTAACAAAGCCATTAGAGTTATTTATCGTAATCACTCCACTCTTAATTCTGCTTAACAGGCTTTTCTTTTAAATACATCCGAAGCTATCAGAATATATCTGAATTTATACAGCCTCTTTTTCTCTTTAGATGTCTTCAAATAGATGCAAAAACCGATCCTTTCGCCTCCACTTACGTAAATTACAGACCACTATTATCCTCACTATCATACTGACTTGCCTACTTCACTTCTCATGTAATTGTATCGAATAATTTAGTCACTAGTTCATCCTCCTCATTTTTATTATACAAGCTGCACATTGTGTAATCAGGTGGTTTAATTTTTTTATATCCTTCAATTGTATTCCTATTTTTTATTGTTAGCTACCCCGTTTTTTACTTTTTTATACTGACGAACGACCGTCAGCATACTTATCATCACTTGATACATGAGATTAACTGTTAACAGGATCATGAATACTTGTCAATTAGACGTCCATAATCTGAACAAAAGATCATTTGAACACTTTCAGGTTTGCGGTGGCTTTTTACCTGATGTTGATTTGTGTGGCTAGGTACGCCTCTCATTCTACTGACTTCTCATCTATCGAACAAATGTTTGACCTTTTGAAGATGTCTACTACTTACGTGTTGATTCAATACCATTCAGAATATAACCACTGGATAAATTAAGTTGTTTGTAACCACTGATTAATACTTCCGAAAATTGTGATTGATCCAGCTGTGAAGCAGACAGAGTTTTTGATTCAATGGATCCACTCGCTTGTACTCCATCTGATAATACACTGTTGACTTGTCTCTTTGACCGGAGATTTACAGAGATACGTTTGAATATAACTGAGGTACATGTTGAGCCTTGGAAAATTCGTGAATTCCCAGCATTCAAGCTATCTAAAATCTTAAATAGAAAAAAGGATAACTTGAAAAAGATTGACTGCTATTCAGTTTCTTAACTGCTGACTTAGTAGAAATATGTTCATTTTCTTATCCTCCAAATGGTAGTTTTGTGTTCTATAGCAGTCTTAGTTTTTCTTTAAAAGTTGTTATCGAATTGTGTAATACAATAGATCAGTCATCCAACTGTTTTACGGGTAAAATTTTCAGACTTAATGATCGTAGCAGATATCTTTATGGACAACTGAGAAAACATAGCTCTTAAATACATTTAATCCTACTCCAAAGATATGGTGGAGATATGTGGATGACACTTTTATAATGTTAAGAAAAGAAAATATCTCCAGTTTCTTTACACATATAAACTCACCAGTAAAGGGAATGAAATTCATATTTGAATCAGAAAATAATCAAGGAGAATTAGCTATGTTAGATTGTAAAATAAAACGAACAGAAGAAGGTCAACTGCACACTAGCGTTTATAAAAAGCCAACTCATTCTGCCAATAAATATTTAGACTTTAATTCATCTCATCCGTTATCTGTAAGCGCAAGCTTAATTAAGTGTCTAACAGATGGAGCGATAGCGCTAAGTAGTACAACAACAAACCTAAAAGATGAAGTGAAACTGATAGAAGAGGCGTTGGTGTTAAGTAACCAACCCATAACATTCATTAGGAATATCAAAATAGGTCAAAAGCAAAATAAAAATAATGGTGAAACTAATAATGATAATATAAATAAGAAAAAAATATAAGGCATCTATGGTTTGGAAATCTGAGACACTACATAGGATTCTCAGTAAGGCAGGAATTAGAGTTGCATTCAAACCTACAAACTGACACAGGGACAAGCTCTGTTGGCTTATGGAGCCTGTAGGTAAGTTATTTAAAAAAATCTCACCAATAGCACTGCATACATTAACACACAACCACAAACAGCAGGGTGATACAGAGTTAAAATCCTTAAAAGCAATATAGGTAGGTGGAGAGAGAGAGGTTTATTGCTGAATCTTTGATCATAGAATCTTCACTCAGCACTTGCATTAGGAATGACTCATCGTCTATACCAGAGATATGGAAAATACTGCTCCCGATCAAATCAAGAGATGAAAAATAGTGGAATAATATATAAATGAAGTTGGAAAGTTGTGTGAGTAACTTGATACGATTATGAGCAGTACATTGTGCTCGGAACGCTATCAATTAAGTATTACTGTATAACACTGTGACACTCTATCAGAATAAATTTTCTGCATAATAGAGTTATACTCTACCACAGTGCCCAGTTTCTATTCTTACATGAATGATTAACCCATCATCATTTAATTGTTGTATCAGCTGAAAGACGCGAATTCCTTGACATTATTTCCAACAAAGTCAATAGTATTCCGTACATCAGATTAGTTATTTGCGAACCATTCAGCAAAGAGACAAATTCTTCCGAGATTTTCTGTGGAAGTCAGAAGTGTTCGCATATATTAGTAATGTTCACCAACAAAACAGAAACTATGAAGACATCGCCCAAGGATATATCTACCATTTCATATAGCGGTATTTTAAGAAAAACATGGGCTAATTCGAATAGCAGTAACAACACTTATCTTCAGTATTCACGAGTCGCTTAATTTAATCCATATTAATATGCCTAAAATGTGTAGTACAATTCCTTCAATGAAACACTTGGATTTTGGAGATACTAGTTAAAATTCACTTATAAGAAATAGGAAACACGATGCTCAGGCTAAATGCTTGATAGAGGTTAGCAGTACAATTCACCGGCCACATCCCATCTAATTCGAATTTTTTTCAGATGTATAATAGCACATCCTAGTAGCAGATTGTATTCTTACATAAAATTGAACTCACAGTCAGTTCTTACAGTTAGGCGAGTAAGGTGTTGACATCATGACTGAACTCCTGGTGAATAATGTTCTGGGTTAGAAAACTTTGTAGACCATAAGTGTGCCAAAGAGTAGGAAATACTGTTTACCCGCTAGCTAATATGTAAACAACATGTTGACTGTATGCTGCTTATATACACTTTAGCTGATATTTTATCAGTAAGATGTCACAAAATACACTATCTAATTATTCGAATATTCAGCTAAAGCGAAGATGAAATAGAATGATTTACTCTTAGAAAAATTACCATGGAAAGAGTAAATAGCTCATATAGTGAAATGATATTAGTATTAACTTCTGTCTACTTGCAACACGACATTATTGCTGAACAAAGTTGATGGTTATTCTAATGAAATGATAAATGCATCACAATGTATACTTCGAAAAAAAAACAATCACATATTGACAACATACCAGACCACAATAGTTTCTAGATAATTCACTATAAGCACTTGACTTTGTATCACTGTAGTTATCAGACCATGAAAGATACCTCTGCGTCACGAAACTATACATGATTGCTTTAACTTCAAAAACTGTTGAAACTAAAAAAGACGAAAAAAATGTGGGTTTGGAATGAGTTAGCTGTATGCACTGCCATCCTTGTTAAAAATATTTAGAATTCATTTCGTCATGTTATACGACTTATTATATACTTATGCACAGATACAGTTTTGCAGCGCATTCAACAACTTTTCAAATCTTTACAATATGAAGAAAACTGTAATACAATACAGCTAAAGTGTATGGAGTTCAGTGAAAATTATACTAACCAAATTTAGTTTTTCACATCTTCAGTACTGATAAGAATATCTCGTTAAATATAAGACTTATGGTTAAAAGTGCTGCAGTAACTCAGAGTTATTATGCTCGCCAACTACACCTCACGTGGTCCAGGGTTGTATCCCCAGCTAGCGTACTCCTAAAATTTGCGAAGCTGGTAGCAAGTCCGATAAAGAAGGAAGGCTTGGCATGTGGGTAGGAAACTCACCCAGTATAAAGAACACTGCTACTGGAACTATAGAGCTACGGCTTGAAGACCTATGTTCCACTTAGGACGTAAAGAAATAAAACAAGCTGGTTGAAAATAGACTTAAGTCAGAAATATTGCAGTGGCTTAGAGGCAAGATTAATTGCTTAATCTACCCTGTATCTAATTCTGTGGAACGAAGTGAGGTTACCATTCAGTTCATGTATATCTCTATGATAATAAGTCAGTATGCACCAATATACACTTTTGTTTTTTCTAATATAACTGAACAGATTCCTTGGTAGAACTCTTCTCTTCGTCAGATGATTTATTATATTGATTAAGAGTTGTTGTATATGAGTACCTTGATGTGATTATGAGTAATAAATTTTGCCGAAAATGATTTATTACTAACTAAAAAGAAAATTTTACTATGCCAGTATCTCGTCTACAGGTTCTACATTCACTACACATTCATGTACAGAAAAGTGGAATTGAATGATTAGTCATAACGAAACGGCTCTCCAGTGCTTTCTGGTTTTCAGTTATCTCCAGCCCCTATTGATTTGTGACGAAATTTGCATTAAAATTAATCCAAAACCCATAGTCCAAATGGCAATCTCCAGCTTAATGATTGCCACTGGATAGATGTCTTGAAGTTGAACCGAGAAGTCGTGATCAGTTAGGTCCACTATGGGAAGTTGATGTGGATACCAATCAAAGGCACTGGTTGATGGTGGCGCCAGATCACGAATTGACAAAGTTAGAAATCACAGATCACTGAATTCCAGCCCTGGTATGGGTGTAGTGCTGAAGATCCCTAAATTAGGACGAAAGGGTCATCCACTACCCTCTGGTTTTCAAAGATCAGTAACTGAAGTTGGTTCGTGACGAAATCTACATTTAAACGTTATTGGAGATTTAATTTTTATGCCATTACGGCTTAGCAGTTCCGCACATAGTAGATAAACAACAGAAAGAAACAGATTTAGCGGTATTTCAAAATACATCACAAAGTGATGTCAACTGGAAATCCATTGAGAACCTAGGAGTACTGGGCAACTGATTCATTTTAGTTTGGGGCCTTGCAACAATGTGCATCAATGAAGCCAGTGTGCATCGACTCTAGGCACTTGACGTTACAGATTCAGCTTGTTGGTCATTCCTTCAGTGAACTTAAGTTCACTTTATCAGTTCATCATATAGAGAAACCATCAACCAGTGCAGTTGACACAGTCGATTCTAACGCTTTATTAGGGGTTGATGGGTTTGATTCCCTCTCATTTCATATGTGCGCACTAATGACGAGTTTCAAGCTGGGACTAAATAGCTCTTTAGTGACAAAATCTATATTGGGATTAATTAAAATCATCATAAAACTCAAAATCTGCACTAGTATTAGGCTATGTATTCTTCATACTTAAGCACGGCTTATGTCTTGGCAGCTGAGAGCCTCAAATCACGTTATAAAAAGATGTTCATACGCAGTCACTACTTCATTAGGTTACGTCCCAATTCAAAATTATGACTTATATGAAACAGCTAAGTATTTCAAGGAAAGAAGTAAACTAACCGGAAAAGGATTAGCTTAGACTTGAATCAAAAAGATAATATTGATTGAATGACCTCATACATACACAGTAGGTGCAAAACGACTTTATACAGTGAAGCTTTGTGTCACAATCCGTCAAATTTAGATATCAGTGGATAGTTTATAATCATCAAATATATTATTTTGATGAAAAAACAAGGTACTAGCATGAGATCAAAAGGCTCATCAAGTGTACTAACCTCTGCCAACAAAGATTGTGGAAGTATTTAGTACTGGTGTGACAGTGATTGCTTCAGTCGCTTCTGTTGACGTTTTCGTGATTGACAAGGCAGACGTAGCAACTTCTGATACTGTATTTGTCTTCATAGACGTTAATGATACTTGTGTTGATACTGGTTGTGAATCAGTCGTACTATCAGTAGACACCTGCCTGTATGACATCATTGTTGTTGTTGTTGTTACTGATGTTTCAATTCGTCCTGTTGATGAGGTTAGTGAACTCTTTTGAGTAATGTCTGTATTACCCTGAGTAACTCCTTTTGTTGTGCCTAATTTGCACAAAATATAAGAAATAAGACAATGGACAGGATGTAATAAAGTCATTTCATGATAATCAGCAAAAAATTTCACATGTTCCCAAAGAATATTACAACAAAAACAATAAAGATATTAAAATAAGTTTTGTCAAATTGAAAATGTGAAATTTTTCTTACAAATGATAACAAAACGGGATTTATCGATGAGCTGTTTCTACAGGAAACAAATCCTCTGAGAAGATATCAGCAATACCTAGACTCATTTACAAAGAAGCAGGTTTCATGGATGTTATTAGGAGATAAAGTTGATAGTCACTCACTTATGATATGTGCAGTGGATTAGCCATCACAAAAAAATTGCAACGCAAATAGAAGTAAATACAACCCATTTCAGTTTAGTTTTCATATCTCTCTATTGGTTATATTTTCTGCCTTGTCATCTCATCTTTAGTATCAAGTGAAGGGGCCAGATGTTGGTGAAATTTTTCTCCATACTGAAAATGCTTCCAGTGACATGCATGCAAAGTCACTGAACTGATTTGGTATAACTGTTGGGAATTCAAATGTCCTTTACCACGTTGAATGATGTGGATTTCCGCACTGGATTTCTAGTAATGAACATCTGTCTCGATTTCCCCATGGGATCTTGTGTGATCTTAAAAATCTTGGCCGTGACACCCTCTACAGACGGCTGCAAACAATAACGGACGATACTCTACCTAGATGAGGATATTGGAATGCCAGTTGGTGACATGGATGCTGGACTGAGAGCAGACGACACGGAAAAGAACTCTTTATGTGTAGAGGGCCAGCCAGAGGAGCATAGAACGCTAGGACGGACAGCATATTGTTTTTAGCCATAAAGTCATGACTGATGCAGCCAATCAGATACCGATTGCCTATAAACGATATATATCCTGTATTTAGTAAAGGTTGTCGTCGTATTTATCGCAGTTAAATTTGACTTCTATTTCTACCTCAGTTTGGGGGAATATTTCCAAGTGATCAGTTGGCTACAGTGTTGAGAATGCAAACTTATTGTAGTCAAGTCAGATGACAGCCAACAAATCAGCAGCAATTCACTACAACAAACAAGAATGAAGAACACTTCTCAGACCCCTGAGCATTTAGGGATTTGGAGAATAGAGGCAGCACAAAGACACCAACAGAGCGGCGTTTGCTTCACCAAATGTGCACAACGGAAATAAAATAGAATTCATGTTAGTCTCAAGAAGGTTGGGCAATAGTCTGCTGCATAGGAAATCGAGAAGAGGGACAGTTGTGGGCTTCGACCATTATCCAGCGCAAGGAGCCTCCTCTGAAAATGATGTAGGAGGATACCTCAAAGAATACATCAACTAAGAAGATGAGTTAGGATAAGGAAACGCTGACATAGGGAAACTAACAGAAGAGAGATAAATGGTGAAGCAGAAGATGAAACAGTGCAAAGGTGAACAATGAAAGAAGAAGATGAGTTCAGTCTAAAACTCAGCGAACAAAGGGGCAGAGAACAGTACAACAAAAGATAAAACAGTTTTAAAATATAGCGGCAAATGAAGTTGAATAGACCACAAATAAGAGAGATCTCACAACACTTTGCGAAAACTGGCGCAGATATTGTTCTCCCGTCCACTCCAAGCAAATTATCAGCTTATATCCTCCCAGAGAAACTATGATATGATTATGAGCAATAGTTTATGCTCGAAAAGTTATCAGTTAATATTACTGTACAACACTGTGTGATTTATCAAAATGAAATCTTATCCATAGTGGAGTTACACTCTACCACAGAGCCCAAGTTTTATACTTATACCAGTAAACTCTATATATTCCTTTTATTTTATGTAAGCAATTTGCATTTCTCTGTTCTCTTCTTTCCTATCAATTGTCTCCAAATGATTATTCATCACTTAACTAGTAAATTGTAAACTGTGTTGATAATTTAATATTACATGGAGGGTTTCATCATGAGCTGACATCAGTTAGAGATCCATTGGAAAACCTGGGAGTACTGGACAGCTGTTTCGTCCTGATATCAGCTCATGATGAAATCCTCCCTGCAATCAAACAAAATCCTTACAAAACCAATACTTGAAAATTTAATATTATTCAGTATTTTTCACAAGTCATTACTTCTCATACACTTTTGTTTATTTGTTATTAATTTATAATAATCTCTGACCTTTTAATGTTAATTAATATTGTACATACAATCACTTTATTTTTTGTACATATTTGCGGAGGCGTTAAGAAAATAGATTTCTTTGCTAACTTATGTTTTCTTATTAAAAATTGTATCAAACAGGTACAGAATAAGTGAAACAGAAGTTTTTAATTTATGAATTCACTTGTACTGTGAGAAACCATTGTTAACATAAAACTCATATAATTCAATATAGCAAAAATATTCATTCAGACATCTATAAAACACAAAATAATCGAGCAAAGAATATTCATTTCGATATATTCCTCTTCCAGGCTCTAAAATTATATATATGTTTATATACACAGAATATTTTAAATTAGTAGTTAATAACAATATTAGTGTTTTTTTAAATAATATCGATTTGTTAAGTATGATCACAATGGAATTACAGTTCATTAAAGATGCTTAAATTATAATAATAATAAAGATATAATAGCGAATAGAATATCAACTAAAATTAGGGAAATTTCACAAAAATTCTGGATTATTCAAACCTGGATGGCTAAGGTAATGATAATGGGCCTTTGAAAGATGTTATTAATGAACTCGAATTTTATTGTCGATAAATGGATGGTACTTTTTTGATTATGAAGAGCGAAAAGGAAGCAATGAACATCCTGGATAAATTTAATGAGGTACATCCTGCAATAAATTTTACTATTGAGAAAGAAAAAGACTCTAGTATTTCATTTTTAGTCGTCCTTATGACGACCAAAGAGGACGGCACAATAAGAAGTGTTTATAGAAAACCTACATCAACGGGCCAGTACACACATTTTCTCAGCTTTGTGCCCTTGAAATACAAACGCAATCTAATAAAGTGCTCGGTCCACAGAGCAACAGAGATTTGCTCGGATGATTGTCTTGACGAGGAACTTAACAATGTTAAACGGTTGCTAAGTGAGAATGGTTATCCCGAAAAGTTTATTGATAAGAATATGAATCTGAAACCAAAACAGCCCAAGTTACCAACAGTTCCAAAAAAAAGCCTTGTTCTTACAGATGCAGTTCCTAAGAGACAACACCAGTGAGATACTAACACAGCGCCTTAGAAATGCGGTAAAAAGAGCATTCCCTGCTGCTCAGTTACGCTGTATCTTTAAAACCACTCCTCTTCTGCGTTCGGGAATCAAAGACAAACTGCCTAATTTCGCCTCTTCCATGTGTATATACCAATTTAATTGCTCCTGTGAAGCCAGTTACATAGGCCGTACAATTAGGCGTGTTTCTCGTCGAATTTCCGAACATCACCCTGCCTAGTTAAGCAAAGGACAAACAAAATCTATTCGCAGCGCTATTCTGGCTCATCTTGTGGAGACAGAACACAAGATTGACGTTAATCATGCTTTCAGAGTCATTACCGCATACCTATGAGTTTCAATTTCGCTTTAAGAGTTCGACTTCTAAATAATGCTGAGGCTGTGGGGATCCATATTAATAAGCCTAATTTATGCACCCAAAAGAAGCTAGCTCCATCATTATCATTACCTAGGCCATCCAGGTTTGAATAATCCAGAATTTTTGTGAAATTTCCCTAATTTTAGTTGATATTCTATTCGCTATTATATCTTATTATTATTATTATAATTTAAGCATCTTTAATGAACTGTAATTCCATTGTGATCATACTTTACAAATCGATATTATTTAAAAAAACACTAATATTGTTATTAACTACTAATTTAAAATATTCTGTGTATATAAACATATATATAATTTTAGAGCCTGGAAGAGGAATATATCGAAATGAATATTCTTTGCTCGATTATTTTGTGTTTCATATAATTGAGTAGGTTTTTTAAGCGAAGTATTTATAAACATGCTTTAGTGACGAAACGCCCATCATCTAGAGAAGCCGTTCAATACATCCTCTTCAGATAGCATTAGTTTTATTTCTACTCCATAGTTAATACTGATGACTCTTTTGCTGGCTTTATGTGTGTGGTTCTATGAAGACTCTGTGACTTTGTGTTTCACACAGTCACAATGAATTGTTAGAGACTAAAAAGATGTTGTAACTGCGGAGCTAGACAAAATAAAAGTAATTGTGAACTGATATTTTACTCAAAGCTCTTAATGTTTAAAAATAGTTCAGTTTTACTAGTATGACTATGCAGAATACTGCCTCACTTATGGTTTCAGTAGCTTGTGATATCGCGTTGACTGATATATAATCTTTCCACAGTCTGTTGAAAAACTACCACGTAATATGCTAATGATACTTGGGTTGTGAGTGATGTCATTACTTGGTAAAACTTGTATAATATGTACAACCATGGAAAATGAACAGTTTTATTCGTACGATATAAAACAAGTTTTCACATCTTCGAAACAGTTGATTTGGATATTCAGTGAAAAACTTATATTGGTTAACAATAAGTATGCCTTCATCGTTCAGACATAAGGAATGAATAAGCAGCAGTATGGTTTCGTTGTTGGCCATGAATGAAAATTTCCGCTTGAAATCCACATATTTTAGTTATACTACTGATAAACAAATAGCAGCATCAAGAAATAAAAATATTATTTTATGAAGAAATACTAGTCTACATGTGAGATTGCAAACATCGTAATTTGTGTCCACTAAAAATAGTGTAACTGGTTCCGTTCCGAATTCCAAGGGAATATAGATCCTATTCCCTTTAAGTCTAACGGAAATACTTTTTCAGTTATTTCCCAATTCCTATTTATGCAGTGAAAAAATAAACAGTATGTATTATTGATATAAGTATAAAACTTGGGCACTGTGGTAGAGTGTAACTCCATTATGGATAAGATTTTATTGTGACAAATCACACAGTGTTACACAGTAATATTAACTGATGACGTCATCAGTTACGAAATAAGCACAAAGTGGTAAAAACACTTCTTGGGAATCCTCTGACCTAGGAGTTCTATTAGTTCGTAATATTGCGTCAGTGCCATTCATCGTCATCCGCGAGTTTGAAGCCTTACTGCTGATTTGGTTTACTAACTAGAACTCCAGCAAGTCTGTTCAGTAAGCAGTTACTCATAAGCCGTGGATTGGTTTTCAGTTGCTAAGTTTCTATAAGTTTTGAACATATTTCATTCGCGTACATATTATCAGTAAATGTAAGATGAATTAATCGCAAGACTAAATGTAATCGCTAATTACTCATTGGAAAGTTTTCAAACTACAATAAGTAATAGGCTGTTATTGGTTGTTAGGTTATATATATATATATATATATATATATATATATATATAACACACCAGGTGTTGATATGGAGACATCGAAGTATAGAGATAAACAGTAGGCTTACCAAACCACATGAAGATACTGGTAACGATGAAGATACTAAATAAAAAGGCATAGATAATCAGAATATAGCAACAGTAATAGACGACACGGAATTGTCATCGCCATAATTTCTAATCACCAACTACTCCAGTTTTATGATTCGTTTACAACTAGATGTGCAAACAAGTTCAGTGAATTCTTGTTAAGTGGTTTTACGTAGACTGATATGATCTAGCTTTTGCGATATATTCACTCTGATATGGCTTCAATTCAGAATCAACTGAGAGTCACCACTCATCAAATAACACTTGAAAACCTCATGGAATAGTTTTACACAGTATAGGAGCGACGAACATAACTTTTACATGTATCTAGTTTTCATTTGTCGACCAATTTTTGTGAAGCTATGCAGTCAAATAATGATCACAATTTGAATTATTCACTGAGTGCCTGCATAAATGATACAAATAAATGTGTTTATGTCTTTATTCTATTAGCTTTCGGAAGTGAATCAAATAGCATCATTTTGAAGCAAAGAGAGTTTAAGACGAAAACATGAAAAAGAAGAGAGAAAATTAAGTGAACATTGCTTTAATAATACTATATAACATTGTGGTAATATTTTGATTCGACACTAGTAACTAGTGTGACGTGTCTAGTACTTTCTTCGGTGCAGACTGAATTCTATCAGCCGATTGCCTCCAAATTTTTAATATTGTGAGAATATATCAGACAGGTTTACTCAGAGAACAAAAAAATTCTCAAAGAAACGTTTTAAATACACATTATACCGAAAAGTAAACCGATAAGACTCTTTACCATTTATAAAAATTATTAGATGAAAAACAGTTCTGCAAAGTAATGTTTATACCATATCTAAAAATCAAGAAAGAAATATTTGAAGTTAACGCCATAAATAAAACAACAGAAAAATAAAGTGTGATAAAAGTAAAGATACAGTGACAAAGAGACAAGAAATATGCCACATAGAAATATTGAATGAATAAAATATCCCGAAAAATAAATGAAAAGAAAAGATCATTAAAAAAAAATTGAATAAAAAAAAGCAGAAACGAAACAAAAGAGGCAAATAAAACAAGTTAAAAAGAGTTAAAACAACTAGCAGATATGAAACCGAAATCAATATAAAAAGTGCAAGTTGTCACTATACAGCTGAGATGTTTCAGCGAGAATTTAGGTGGTGCTGACATCAGACACGGCTGCTCGACATGTGGTGACAAGAGATTGTGCCAGCGAGAGGTGAGAAGTCGTAAATTCGTGGGAGGACACGGAACACGCTTACACCCAAATGCACCTTGCTCCTGACACAATGAGTGATTCTCACAGCCTCAGAATTCGTCAGTCACAAAACCAGCTACTCTTGTGAGTGTCAGACAGTGAGTCAATAAGTCAGTTAGCCACCTACGCAATCACCTAACCAGCCGGCTGTACTCACTGTCTGCCTGTCTCGCCACCTGTGCATACACCAGTGTGTTGCAGCCTCACTTGTGTGAAGACAATCATTCGGTCTACACCAACCAACTGGAGCTGCACAACACCTAGTCGACAATGAGGAATCGGAGCATACTGGTTGGGGGAAGAGAATGTGCAGTGATGGGAGTGGGCCTGACGACATCTGCACTGAGGCCAATGCACCTCGGTCCGATGAGTCGACGAGTGTGGAGTTTGGACATGAGTGCAGGTGAATGGGATGAGCCAGTGTCGCGTGGTCACGCGAGTACAGTCGAAATCGTCAATTGAAAATACTCACCAGGTGTGATGGATGCATTTGTCGATTGAGGAATGACTGTCGATGTATGGCCATCCACAGACGATAGAGGAACACTCGTCGAAGTGGTGGATGATATGACCGGAATCTCAGATACTGTGGTTGTGCTTGTCGGTGCAGTTGTTGACTGTGTCTCGTTGGCGGTGTGTGTGGTTAGGATTTGTTCACTGATTGTCGACATTCCCTGGGACGTCGATGTCTGGACACCTGTAGATGTGAGGATGAAACATAGAAAGGATGAGTTCGACGACAACAGTATCACCTAGCGATTCTACTGCATGCAATACGAATATGGCGATTCTCGGTCGAATTTAAAGTGTGAAAAGACCAGTGAGTTGCACGCCATCGAACTCGTGAGACATGAAGCAGCATTATTTGCACAAGTGCAGGTTGTCACTATACAGCTGAGATGTTTCAGCGAGAATTTAGGTGGTGCTGACATCAGACACGGCTGCTCGACATGTGGTGACAAGAGATTGTGCCAGCGAGAGGTGAGAAGTCGTAAATTCGTGGGAGGACACGGAACACGCTTACACCCAAATGCACCTTGCTCCTGACACAATGAGTGATTCTCACAGCCTCAGAATTCGTCAGTCACAAAACCAGCTACTCTTGTGAGTGTCAGACAGTGAGTCAATAAGTCAGTTAGCCACCTACGCAATCACCTAACCAGCCGGCTTTACTCACTGTCTGCCTGTCTCGCCACCTGTGCATACACCAGTGTGTTGCAGCCTCACTTGTGTGAAGACAATCATTCGGTCTACACCAACCAACTGCAGCTGCACAACACCTAGTCGACAATGAGGAATCGGAGCATACTGGTTGGGGGAAGAGAATGTGCAGTGATGGGAGTGGGCCTGACGACATCTGCACTGAGGCCAATGCACCTCGGTCCGATGAGTCGACGAGTGTGGAGTTTGGACATGAGTGCAGGTGAATGGGATGAGCCAGTGTCGCGTGGTCACGCGAGTACAGTCGAAATCGTCAATTGAAAATACTCACCAGGTGTGATGGATGCATTTGTCGATTGAGGAATGACTGTCGATGTATGGCCATCCACAGACGATAGAGGAACACTCGTCGAAGTGGTGGATGATATGACCGGAATCTCAGATACTGTGGTTGTGCTTGTCGGTGCAGTTGTTGACTGTGTCTCGTTGGCGGTGTGTGTGGTTAGGATTTGTTCACTGATTGTCGACATTCCCTGGGACGTCGATGTCTGGACACCTGTAGATGTGAGGATGAAACATAGAAAGGATGAGTTCGACGACAACAGTATCACCTAGCGATTCTACTGCATGCAATACGAATATGGCGATTCTCGGTCGAATTTAAAGTGTGAAAAGACCAGTGAGTTGCACGCCATCGAACTCGTGAGACATGAAGCAGCATTATTTGCACAAGTGCAGGTTGTCACTATACAGCTGAGATGTTTCAGCGAGAATTTAGGTGGTGCTGACATCAGACACGGCTGCTCGACATGTGGTGACAAGAGATTGTGCCAGCGAGAGGTGAGAAGTCGTAAATTCGTGGGAGGACACGGAACACGCTTACACCCAAATGCACCTTGCTCCCGACACAATGAGTGATTCTCACAGCCTCAGAATTCGTCAGTCACAAAACCAGCTACTCTTGTGAGTGTCAGACAGTGAGTCAATAAGTCAGTTAGCCACCTACGCAATCACCTAACCAGCCGGCTTTACTCACTGTCTGCCTGTCTCGCCACCTGTGCATACACCAGTGTGTTGCAGCCTCACTTGTGTGAAGACAATCATTCGGTCTACACCAACCAACTGGAGCTGCACAACACCTAGTCGACAATGAGGAATCGGAGCATACTGGTTGGGGGAAGAGAATGTGCAGTGATGGGAGTGGGCCTGACGACATCTGCACTGAGGCCAATGCACCTCGGTCCGATGAGTCGACGAGTGTGGAGTTTGGACATGAGTGCAGGTGAATGGGATGAGCCAGTGTCGCGTGGTCACGCGAGTACAGTCGAAATCGTCAATTGAAAATACTCACCAGGTGTGATGGATGCATTTGTCGATTGAGGAATGACTGTCGATGTATGGCCATCCACAGACGATAGAGGAACACTCGTCGAAGTGGTGGATGATATGACCGGAATCTCAGATACTGTGGTTGTGCTTGTCGGTGCAGTTGTTGACTGTGTCTCGTTGGCGGTGTGTGTGGTTAGGATTTGTTCACTGATTGTCGACATTCCCTGGGACGTCGATGTCTGGACACCTGTAGATGTGAGGATGAAACATAGAAAGGATGAGTTCGACGACAACAGTATCACCTAGCGATTCTACTGCATGCAATACGAATATGGCGATTCTCGGTCGAATTTAAAGTGTGAAAAGACCAGTGAGTTGCACGCCATCGAACTCGTGAGACATGAAGCAGCATTATTTGCACAAGTGCAGGTTGTCACTATACAGCTGAGATGTTTCAGCGAGAATTTAGGTGGTGCTGACATCAGACACGGCTGCTCGACATGTGGTGACAAGAGATTGTGCCAGCGAGAGGTGAGAAGTCGTAAATTCGTGGGAGGACACGGAACACGCTTACACCCAAATGCACCTTGCTCCCGACACAATGAGTGATTCTCACAGCCTCAGAATTCGTCAGTCACAAAACCAGCTACTCTTGTGAGTGTCAGACAGTGAGTCAATAAGTCAGTTAGCCACCTACGCAATCACCTAACCAGCCGGCTGTACTCACTGTCTGCCTGTCTCGCCACCTGTGCATACACCAGTGTGTTGCAGCCTCACTTGTGTGAAGACAATCATTCGGTCTACACCAACCAACTGGAGCTGCACAACACCTAGTCGACAATGAGGAATCGGAGCATACTGGTTGGGGGAAGAGAATGTGCAGTGATGGGAGTGGGCCTGACGACATCTGCACTGAGGCCAATGCACCTCGGTCCGATGAGTCGACGAGTGTGGAGTTTGGACATGAGTGCAGGTGAATGGGATGAGCCAGTGTCGCGTGGTCACGCGAGTACAGTCGAAATCGTCAATTGAAAATACTCACCAGGTGTGATGGATGCATTTGTCGATTGAGGAATGACTGTCGATGTATGGCCATCCACAGACGATAGAGGAACACTCGTCGAAGTGGTGGATGATATGACCGGAATCTCAGATACTGTGGTTGTGCTTGTCGGTGCAGTTGTTGACTGTGTCTCGTTGGCGGTGTGTGTGGTTAGGATTTGTTCACTGATTGTCGACATTCCCTGGGACGTCGATGTCTGGACACCTGTAGATGTGAGGATGAAACATAGAAAGGATGAGTTCGACGACAACAGTATCACCTAGCGATTCTACTGCATGCAATACGAATATGGCGATTCTCGGTCGAATTTAAAGTGTGAAAAGACCAGTGAGTTGCACGCCATCGAACTCGTGAGACATGAAGCAGCATTATTTGCACAAGTGCAGGTTGTCACTATACAGCTGAGATGTTTCAGCGAGAATTTAGGTGGTGCTGACATCAGACACGGCTGCTCGACATGTGGTGACAAGAGATTGTGCCAGCGAGAGGTGAGAAGTCGTAAATTCGTGGGAGGACACGGAACACGCTTACACCCAAATGCACCTTGCTCCCGACACAATGAGTGATTCTCACAGCCTCAGAATTCGTCAGTCACAAAACCAGCTACTCTTGTGAGTGTCAGACAGTGAGTCAATAAGTCAGTTAGCCACCTACGCAATCACCTAACCAGCCGGCTTTACTCACTGTCTGCCTGTCTCGCCACCTGTGCATACACCAGTGTGTTGCAGCCTCACTTGTGTGAAGACAATCATTCGGTCTACACCAACCAACTGGAGCTGCACAACACCTAGTCGACAATGAGGAATCGGAGCATACTGGTTGGGGGAAGAGAATGTGCAGTGATGGGAGTGGGCCTGACGACAT